AGCAGGATGGAGTCTGAGACTACCAAGGCATACTCAAAAGCAAAACTATCGTAAGCCATCAGCCCTCTGGATTAGGGTCCACTAGCAGTAAAATAATTTAATGTCGAAATATTTGCAAGTTGCAGTAAAGTTACTGCAAACTTACTTTACTTATATAATGAAATTCTATTCAAAATATTGTATGTGTAAGACACCAAAGACTCGGAAAAAGTTTTTCCTACAGAAAGCAAGTATTAGAAGGTACCTGGTTAAAAGTTATTAAATATTTAAAGTTTAATTTTTTTCTAAAACAAAAATGGTATTGAGTTAAAAACAAACACCCCAAACTGCAATTGGAATCTTTAAATAACGAGATTTAATAAAGAGACTCCACAGTCCTAATGGTTCTTTGCTGTAGTGATGATGGTTTAAATATAGGGCAGGATAGTGTGTGCGTGTGGGTGTGTTTTAATTAGACAAAGTAGTATGATGGGAAAACTTAAACCTTTCTTCAAGAAAAAAAAAACAACCCTCATATCAATTACACAATTGGTTTATTTTGACATTTGGGTAGTGCTTTAGGGAGGTTCCACTGCACTTAAAGCAAAAAATACGTGTACCATTTACTACCAGAAGATGAAAAAAAAAATCTTGATATGCTTGAAATCTTTTCGGGTTTTTCTAATGGTATCAGCTGATCTAATGAAAGATACAACTTCTATCTACAAATCTTTCTGCCCTAATAGTGCACAGCTTTTAACTATGCTACTACTTTAGCAGTTGGCATCTCACCTTATGTTTTAATTTTTTTTTTTTCCCTCTTCTCCTCCCTCCAGTTAAAACCAAAACTGCTAAAGAAAAGTGGCAAAGAGGACCAGAAAATAGAGAACTGTGTATGTTATCACTTTCCTTCCTTTATCTGTAATTCAAACCTTTTTTTTTTTTTTTTCTCCTTAAACAAAGAAAGAAGTAGGGGACATTAATCTTGTGAATAACTAATGATTCAGTTAGAAGGGATATTTACAGCTGTTAAGGCCTTACTTAGGATTTGTAAAAAAAACTATTTATTGTATGTTTAAAGTTTCCATTCCTTTTGCCTAACTGGATATAGGGTAAAGTCAAATCTAAGTAAAGGTCACCTCTAATGTACAGGTTCCTGCAGGTTGTATTTTAAAGTAAATTTTGTTTTAACTTCTGTTATTGCTACACAATTATTATTTTGTGTTTAAATGGTGCATTCAGGCAACTCCTACTGTATTTAAAGCAAGTTTATCTATAACCTCTACTACAATGCTTCTTTGAATAAAAATCAAAAGCCAGACAATCTAAACATCTATTAAAGAAGGCATACATAGTAAGAGATGAACTACAATGTAATGCAAAGCCCTTCTGGCTGCCAAACTATATTCTTTAAATGTTAATTAGTAACATTTCCCAAGACACGTAAAGGGCAAAAAAAATCTTAATTACAAAAGGCAGAAAAAGGTGCCTCCCCTAACTTCAGATGTAGCACTGATCTAAAATATTTTAAATAATTTGCAGAAAATCAGTAGCGGACGAAAAATTTTTCGAGCAATCGCCCAGGAACTTCAGAAGCAGAGGTATGCTGAACACCACCAACAGCCTGTAAGTAATGCGAAAAAGGAACGGCAGAACTCTGTGCATGTCTACTGATACTGAAACATGTAAAGAAAGAAGAACTTACTATTTTGAAGAGTATCCCATTTGTATCTCCTCTGGAATTAGATTTCTCTTTTACCTCGATAAAGGTCTAAAAAAACTATTCGGCACAATAATCAAAGACATTATAAAGCATTCTAACTCATCAAGAGCAGATCAAGACAGCTTACAGGAGTCTTTTCTGGGGACCGACATAGGCCTTCTCAAAGAGAAGCACACAAGCATTTTCACACAACCCCAGTGTCGAAGCACAGACTATAACATTTGAATGCAGTATCAATTTGCATGCATTTACAGTGCAACTGCACACTGTTAACACCTCCGATGGTCACTTCCTCCCCCCTCCTACTTACTAGGAGGTATTCCAGTTCTTCAAGCTCTCAATCACTTTTGCAGAGCTCAGTAACCGAGATCAGGCTCGCCCTCCTCCATTTAACACGTTGGAAATTTTATGCATTTGACTGATAGCTAAGATCAGATTCAGTCCTGAATAAAGAACAGCTTTCATTTTCTTGGCCATCCGATATTTTAAATTCTAGCAGGGCTAGAACTGGGACCTATACGTTGCCTGGAAATAAAAATTCTTTCTTCCAGATGAACACCAAATTTCATGTCATGAAAGGCCTCAAGCTAGGCATCCTTTTTCAGGAAGGAGAGACAAAAAATACAAAGCAGGGATAATTTTGTGTCAAAGGAGGTTATAATGCCTATATACACACACATATGTATGTATATATTTATATATATCTATATATTTATATTTATACACAAACACAGATACAAACTGAATCTTCCATGCATTTGTAATTTGCCATTTGGTTAAAAGGCGTAAAGCTATTAGAGTTCACTCTTGGAGTATATTACTACTGTAGTTTATCTCGCTCCCTTACCCCATGGTAGTTGGATGCAACCACAACAAAACTGTTTTAAAAGCTCTACAACACTCTTACAAGTACTTTCAATTTACGTAGCCTAAACTAAGTATTCAGCATCACTGGATAAAACCACACAACTTATTTCATCATTCCAAATTTATGCCAATAGGACTTATGACTACATGACAATGATTTTGCATATGCCACGTAAGTTAGAGAAAACAACTGAGAAGCCACAAGTATTTGTAAGCAAAGAAAATGGCTTCACAGAATTGCTGTGTCTGAGAAGTAGTACAAATTCTTTCCTATTCTGAGCACTGACCACACCATTTCAGAGATGTGAGAAAAAAAACACATGCAACACGAAGTCAGGCCCTTCTCCCAGATACATTTTTGCTTTATTTATTCTTATACTGCCCCAAATGATTCCTCTGTAACAGCCTCTTTAAAGACTTCAAAACCCTGCTGACATGACCCGGTCCTTGGTTTGACCGTCAGATATGAACAGAGTGAAAATAATGGGTATGTTTTACTGTGCTCCCTAGAGACTTGGGGAAGCCAAGAGGAAAAGAACAACATTTTAGAATACCACAGATGCCACATGGACAACTTTCCAACTGGATAACTAGGGAGGGAAGGAGTCTACTGAAACAGTAAAGGGAGGAAGTTCGCCTCAAAAAGCAAGTTTGGGCTTTTTCCTTTTAATGAAAAAAATTGTCACCAGTGACTAAATACTTCCACTTTTTTCCCCAGGATCATATGGAAGATGACGCTGTTTATCAGAACCGATGATTATGTGCTATATTTCAGGTTTACTCAATATTTCTGATGTAATGGAGGAGGGAGATAAAGAGGTTAACCTTCTTCACTGACTTTGCTTTGAGAGAGGAAAAAGCCTTACTGGACAGTGCTCTTCAATAGTGTTTTCTAAACAGATCAAAACCAAGCACATTGAACATTACATCTACGTCATACATTACTTCCCTTTCCCTCTCTGCAAGAATAAAAACAGTGGAAAAGAACCTCATCTTTCCTAAGAGAAATGCTTCAGAAAAGTTTTTTTTAGTTTAATTTTTGTGCCTTTTCTTTTTATACGAGTTTACTTTTTTTTTTTTAAACATAAATTGAGCATTTGTGAAATATGTATGACAATTGACAGCAATACAAAATAAACTCATTTCCTAGGTGAAACTCTGTTCTCAGTCATGTTAATGTGACAGTTATTGATGTAACAGATATTAAGGTCAACAGTTACTAAGGCTTACAGCAGCACAGAACAAAACATACGTATTCTGTAGACAGGCAAGCAGAAAAAAAACAGATACTATAAACGCATGCACTATTATAGTAAGGCTCATTTGGGAGGGAAGCTTCATCCTAGCCTATTTAGAAAGGGAAAGTGGTAGTCCAAGTGAGAAGGTTGCTTGTGCAATATTAAAATTCACTTGCTAGACAGATAACCTCCTTCTTCCAATTCTACCATCCAAAGCCAGGAGTACCTGTAGCACCAAGGTTTGCTTTGTGGGCCTGTTCAAAATAGATACAAGCATGAACACAGAAGCACACTGAAAAGTTACTGAATTGCACTTAGCTAATCTACAAAACCAGCACTTTTGCAAGAGATGTGTTGATCTTCGACAGTCTCTCCCCTAAAGAACAGCTGCATCCTCTACCTTCATCTAAATAAAGCAAGATGTGGCTTAACATCTGAAATGATATTATGTCAGTGCTGCGAGAACTGACAAACCAGACAAAGCCAGAGGTCCAGCTAGTACGGTATCGTGTTTCCAGCTCAGTTCAGTACCAAATATTTCAGGAAGAAATGCACCTTCATCTTCCTTTCCCTCAGTCAACCACTCACCCAAAACATTCGTGTGTTCATCAAGGAAAATGTCATAATCCCAGGCTGCTCGTGTTTATTTCTTCTAACATAAGGCATATCTGGCATTTTTATTTTACATAAACTTAAGCCATTCTAGTCACATACTATCTAATACTGTTATCATCTTAATATTAATTAATACTATGTCTATATTAAAGTCAAAGTATTTTTATATCACATTGTGGGACACCTACTAAAAATATAAAATTAGACTAGCCACATTATAAAAATACTGTATGATTCATCTGCTTACTTGCAAAATTTAGACATACACAGTAAGTGCAGTAGTTGTTCTATATATTGAAAATAAAAAACTAAGGAACCCTAGAAATAATTTATGATTAAGCTACTTTGGACTCTAGGTGTCACTGTAGTTCCAGAAACAGTCAGTACAGAAGTAAATATTACCTCCTTTGCCACCTCACTTTGTTTTCTGAGAATGAATTTTATGCCATTCACATAGACAGCTTCCACAATTACCCTATTACATCAAGTGTAAGAACATAAATCTCTCAAGTTGTTTTAATTAAAACTTATTTTTAGTCTCTAGCTCTAGAAACTGATCCATATACTGATCAAACATCTTACCTCCCTCATCCCTTCTTCATTTCTCCATTCCCTTCTTCCTCCCCCCCCTCCCCCCCACTTAAATTCACGAGCTTTTCTAGGTGAGTCTGGGCTGTTTTGGATTAGATGATACAATGAATTATCTGAGCTTTGAAATATTCTCCTCTAAATGTTTCAAATATTCTTTTTCATATATATTAAGTATACATACACATCCAATACTTTTTAATGCATCACCTTGTAGAACTGAATGAAAATATTTAAATTCTAAAATTGTTTGTAAATCAGGAAGACAGTCTGGCAGATCAGTGTCTGTTTCTTTAGACTACATTTGAATAGAGCTTAAGAGGGAAACCTCTAGTGGAATGACAGCATCTTTTGTGTGTGTTAACTTGTGCTGCCTAGCGAAGTTTATATGGGCCCATATCCATGATAGAGGTAAACCAACATACTGAATATGTTTAAAGTTTCAGTAAACATTTGCTACCTGGAACAACCTCAACTGACAAAGGCTTACTTAAGTTACTCTATCCTACCTTGCAGGCCACAGAAAACCACAAAAACCATCCCTTGTGCTATTTGAGACTTAGAAAAAGCAAAGGAAATAAAGCTGTCTAAAACAAAATGATTTATCTACTACAAGTTGCCAGCAGGAACAAAAGCATGACTTCGGTTTACAAAACGTCCTACAACAGGTATCTACTTTCATTAAGTAGGAATGACATGAAGTTCAACCATCAGAGAACAGGTTTCCAATCCCTTGGGATATATAAATTGAATATACTATTCTGCTCCCAGGAGACGGTAGGAGATTAATGATGAAGGACATAAATGGACTAAGAGTGGTTTCTTCCTTAATTTATCCACCTTCCGTTGAGCCAGGAAGCTGAATTGGTTCTATCACATGGTTACCCAATAATATGCAGAAAAGTAGGTTCTGGACATTACAATAGCAACTGCAAAAAAAAAAACTTTTTCCCCCCCCCCCTCCTCCTGCAGAAAAGTTATTGCCATTCAAAAGAGCACAAAATTGATATATTTGGATGAATTTATCGTTTCCAGAATGTTAAGTTTATTGGTTCTGTATTTTTTGGACATACATGCCTTTCCATTGACAAGTCTTAAGGCTCAAGGAGAGCAAGAGACTGCAGTGTCCAAACAGTGAGTGACGAACACCAACCCTCTAGAAAACAATCTATCTTTAGGGTGACTCAACCTGAACTCCCAAAGTCATAGGCACCTAAAAAAAAGTTGCTAGTCTCTCCTGAAGTTAGTCACGAGCAAAGAGATGAATCTGAAAGTCTCTCAGGTATTTCCTTAAAATGCAACTATGGGAAATAACGGAATTTTGGCACATAAAACATTTTCTCTAGTTACTAACAGAATATCATGGTCGCTATTTTGTACTAGTAGAGGCCTATATTTTCCTTTGAAAGCTCATGTTGGATAGTGAACATTTATCTCCCTATGAATTTTTAGGTGCAGTTCATCCGGGGCACTTGAAACAGTTTGAACTAAACTGCTCTATTCAGTATTACACACAGTTCATATGTTTTCACTCAGTGGTCACCAGAGACAACTGGGGTTACCTATACGGCAGCAGCAGAGGGCCCTAATCAGAGATCAGTTTTCCTGTGTTGCTCCAACACAGCTCAAATGTGGCAGCCTGTAGAACAGGATATGCAGCTTCAACATTTTGAGCTTTTTATTGGTTCCAATAACATATGCTGGGGAATTAAGAAAACAGCTTACCTCATGTGGCCTATTTACCTATGATTTCTTACTTTTGAACACGCACCCTATAAGTTATTTTTCAAAATCAAAATATGAACTGAACATTTAATTCAGGATACTATAACGTACAACCTTTCTTCATCTAAATATCTATTAACCTGTGTACTTACCATTTTCCACATACGGGTGAAATGGCAGAACTAATGCTAGAATGACTCTGCCTCTAGTTGGCTCCAGCACACTTCTAATATCCTTTAATACAGTCAGTGGTTGATCACAGCGATCAAGCAAATTCAAACAGCTGATAACATCATATTGAAATCCCGTGTTCTGCCATTCATTTATACCAAGCACTCTGAAGAGAGATAGAGAGAGAGAGAGAGAGAGAGAGAGAGAGAGAGAAATATGGAGCGTGTTAAACACAAGCTGAGTTCAGAGAGAACAACCAGGGATGAGAATTGCCTATGGATGTGCTGATAGGGCAGGTAAGGTCAGCCACACTAGGCAAGGAGAATAGGCAGATATGGACTTTCCATTCTTTTGGAAAGGAAAATTAACCAACAGTGGGCATGGCTATATATTCAACCACGTAAACCGTTCAGTTTGGATGCTCCTTATAATCATCAAGCAGTAAGGGAGGCAAAAAACAAAACCTCAGGGATTATAAAAATGTGATGTCCTAGAATAAAACTAAATACATTTTTCAAGGAATAGCAGAGCTGAAATATCATGGTTAATGGCTTGCTGCATTTTTAACCACCTTGATTTATCTGTGTGCAAAACCAGTTGCTGTTAGATTTCCACTCAAGGACAGGCAAAGAAAAGAAATTCACAGTTCTTTTGTTCTTTGGGCTGAAGTCTACGGAATGGTGTCCCAAATACTAACCGTTACTCAACAAGACTGGATCTGCTGCCTGCAAGAACTTCCAGGACTTGTGACCAGTGCATGAACAGAGTTCTGAAAGCGCTGAAGTTTGTGTTATTAAGTATTGTTTAAGCTTAACAGCAGGAGCTAAGCATCACAAGAATAAAAGGTTCTTTACACAGTAGTCTATATGCATTCCTTACCTAGAGATTAAACACAGATTACCCAGGTATCCCTATTACCAGGGATCAGTTTGCTTTCCCTACAGTCCCTGGGTCTTCCTCTTGCAATTCTGGACTGTTCATTTATCTGTATCTAAACGTTGTCTTCTTGAATCTCTTGATTAAAGCAGTTTACGCAAGCTATGAAGGAAGAGACCTCAAAACAGTTATTCCCTATTTTGTCTTAACTGGTAACAGGGAACATCAGCATAACATAAGCATTGGTAACAGGGAACATCAGATGTGTTTGTTTTCCTGCTTTTGTACAGGTCAGCCCTTTCCATAATCATCAAGTAATAAAGGAATCAATATAATGACTCAAAATACTGAACACTTATAAAATGTGACAAACAGATTATTTTGCTGTAATGTATGATAGAAAGGATGCAAGAACTATTCAGTACAATACCTGTATTTCTTCTTCTGAAGCTGCCATATCATAGTTTCAGACAATTCAGTGGCATAGATTTCTTCAAAGTGAGGACTCATGACTTTAGTGACCTCTCCATCCCCAGCCCCTAAATCGAGAAGTCTGTGGGATTTCCATTCTGGATTTATTTTAAGCAGTCTTTGAAATTGTTCTGGGGAAAACACAAACATTGAGCCCCTTCCCAGCAGCCTGAAATGTAAAGATGAGAAATGTCCAATTTTTTTTTTTTTAAATAAACTTTAACAAAAAGGAGAATGAAATGATTTAGAGTGTGCTTTGGCAGCAACCAGTCACATAACAGACAAGGTCCCCACTTAAATTTTAAATCCAGTTCAACTTGCCTTGCACTTGTCAGAGATCAAACATAGCTACATACAGTTATACAGGTTCAGACTTCGGGAGGCATTTGATTAGGAAAGGAAGAGCTCGTGGGGTGCAGCTCAACAGAGAGACAGAGAGACAGACAGAGGCTGAGCCTATTTTCACAGTTGCAGATTTGAATGTCTCCCATTTAAAAAAAAAAAAAAAAGCAAAAAAAATCACAGAGGAAATGACAAAATGGCTGCAAAGACGCAAGTAAGCACAAAGAATGAAGAATATGATGTGGAACTGGAAGGGAAGCCATGGAAAAGATTTAAAGAACTGCTGGAGTGGCAAAAGAGAAAGGATTCTGTAATTGTATGTTACAATGGCTTTATCTGCAGATTCTGTATTCAACGTGAAGAGCTATGGAATAGAAAATGGGCAACTCATTAAGGAATTGGGTAGAGGTGACAGTTGGATTCCCTACAGATCAAGTCAATCACATACCTGCCTGTAATTGTTTGAAGACTACACAGTGACAGATTTCAGCTGTCATAGCAGAAATTCAGATGAAAGAGTTAGAACAAGCAGACAAAAAAAGAACTGGTCAGTGATAAATTGAAGGTAGAGAAGTACTATTCTTTCAAACTACTGTTGGACAGAAGGTTAAATTTAAGACAAAAAAAAAAATCTTTTACGATCAAGAAAAAAGTAAAAGAATCAAAACATAAAAATGAAAAAGAGGAGATCCGAGAAAGATCAACTATACAAAAAAACCAAAACACCACAACACTATACAAAGTCATATAGAAAAAGCTATAGCAGGATATTAAATACAGAAAAATAAATAAAGTATAGCCAATTTAAGTAGAGCCCCCCTTGCAGCACACTTGTGTCAGTTCACACTGTGTAATTGGCTCACAGCTATTATTCCTGACAGCACTATAAGGTGTTATTCAAAGCACTGGAGAGCCTTTGAGGGAAAAGGAAGCCGGGGGGGGGGAGGAAGAAGAGGAGGAGACCAAAAGGACTTTTATATAAAAGCTACAAGTAACGAAGAACACCACAGGGAAGCTCATAAAGACATCTGGTTAGAAAATAAGGAGAAAGATTATTTTCCCAGCCTTAGTAGCCAGCTACTGTCCTCAAATCAGACTGTGTCGGATGCAGGGAGAAAGAGAAGGCAGGGAAATCAGGTTAAGTGCTAAAATACATATACATCCCCTCTCAAAAAAAATGCATTCTTCATAGGGTCAAAACTGATGAGAATTTAAACATATGCCTGAATGGGATGAAGCAAGGAAAAAAGGGTCTTTTGCCTTTTTTTGGAAAAATACTAGAGAATCCATGAACAGCTGAACTCCTCTGCAGCCAATCACAGAAGCGACTGATGCAGTAAGACTAAGAGAGTAATGTTAATTTAACTTCTCTGTTCCCATCTTTCTAATGTTTCACTAGGCAAACATGCCACATCAGAAGCTACCTGTTCAAGTATAGCTTATGCACAAACTGAGATGGAATTACTTTTTAAAGAGTAAGAGAAAGAGTAGAATTGTGTGCTACATAAGTTTTACTAGACACAACACTCAGCAACTTCTGCACTGTTTAGAAATCTGCCTGGTTTTGCAAGGGATGTCTGCACACACTAACAGAAAGAGCTTTAGATGCCAAACAGAACCGACTGGATACAGTCTCCTCCAAGTAGAACAAACACAACATTAACTTTTAAGGATACGGCAGTAGGCAAAGTAAGAGACAAGAGGGAAAAAAAGAAAGTAGGGGGGAGAGGGATACCTATCTAACACAAATAGAATACTATCTTATTCCAGGGAACACTTGGAAAGAAGTTAATACAAGTAACAGTTACAAAACACAATTAGAGTCTTCTGACCATCTCTTGCAAACTGCTATTTACCCCCTCTGCCCCCCCATACTGGAGATGGTGTTCTTTAATTAAGAGGGTTGGTGGGAAGGGCACAGTGGGACATTTCAAATCTGTTGAACTGGCAAAGAGAAAACCTGTAAAAAAAAAAAAAATCTAAGAAAGGCTGAAAAATCAAGGAGTAGGGCTGAACATTTGAAAAAACTTAAATCCAAAATGTACTTAGTTTACCCAAGATTGACTTTTCACTTACCCATTGATAGATGTCCTAGACATAAAGAGGCTAAAAATTGAGGACACAAAAGAGTGATAGAGCTGGATAAAGAGCCAGCCTGATTTCTCAATGCTGTTGTTTAAGAAGATCTGTGTTCCTTGGTCAAGGTAACTCTGGACAAAAATAGGCTGAAGGGATTCGGACAACTGTTCTGTGTTGCAGACATACCACTAGAGAAAGAGACAAAGGAACATTAAAAGTTCAGCAATATAAAAACAGAAGTTGTTTTAAAAAAAAAAAAAAAGTAAACTTTCAGAGGGCTAGTATCAAGCTGTTCTATAAATATCAAAATTCAGTTTTTCCTAAAGATTTTTAAATAAACTTTAAGATCTATTTACATTAGATGTGAGCTGTAATCAAACAAAGTCCAATTACTAAGAAACAATACTTTTAATTTTTGCCTTAACTATTACCCTGTACTTTGAAGAATTTTACAGAGCAGCTTTCCTAGAAAGCAAACACAGGTCCACTACAGAATAGCACCAATCTGGTAAAACAGGGTAGTGGAAGTGGGTAACACTGTTTTCTGTCTTCCAACTCACTCTCAACTTTTCACTAGGCATCCTCTGAAAAGAAACCAGGACGGTGTGTTTGCAGTATTTTTCCAGGAAAGGAGATGAGGAATCCAATCAACACTTTAAGCAACTGCTTGTCTGTCTTGTATGGCTGATGGACAACACTTCCTCACAGACTAGTGCCAACAAGCACATTCACAAGTCATTCGAAACCATTATCTGTTTAGTAGAGATGATGTGAGGAAGCTGCATGAACAGGAAGCTTCCCACATCATCCAAGAAGTCATCAGGATCAGTCGGAAGGCAGCACTATACTTTTCTAAGGGTAGACAAGTTAAAACGGACTAGTGGTTCCTTCACCTTGTGTCACCTGGTAACAACTACTCCAATACGAACTACAAACTCGCTCTGATACGCAAGTTATTATTCAGCTAATTCTGAAGAAAAAGGGTGGTACTTTTTCCTATCAAATCTATCTGGAAAAGTAAAATAAACCAAACTACATCCTAACATTTTGTTATTTGTGTGTAAGCCATTGCTAAACTCCTCCTTTAACACTTACTGTGTTTACATCATTTTAAATTTAAGAAACGTGTGCAAAACAAGACAGCCCTACAGAAATACTGCGATGTTAGAAGGCCAGCACTGATTCAAAACAGTCAAAAGGCTGCTCACTGCTAGTCTGTAATGTCAGACTTAATAATTCCCCTCAACTCAACAGGTGTGTGTTACAACTGTTTAATTATAATTTTAATTAAGAATGTCACTATTCTATTTCAGTGTCTCCCACGCTTATGCACAGAGTTACTGACAGCTCTTCTTGTAGAATCTCTAATGCCATTGTGTTTGTTTCCTAATACCAAGAATTGCTGCCTATAGCCAAAGCCCTCTTCTGCTATCTTCCCCTCAGATCTTGCAAGAACGTTCTCTACCCTGGTTGCATGTATTCACCATACAGGTAGAGAGCTGTATCTTAAGGAGGAGTGGAGAGTTTTAATAGAATCCTATAAAAATGCATCTGGAAGGAGAGCAAGAGGTCAGCTGGGGTAACTGCCCAATATTAAACAAACAAACAAACAAAAGCTTGTTGTTACTTGTTGGGAGAGGAAGTCACTTAATGCATGTTTACACCATGTTCAGCACAATGGGACTGCTGGTCACTACTGTAATACAAATAACAACAGTACAGGATTCGTATTCCAGTATCCTGCTGCTTCACAGTAACAGTGCCAACAAACAGAGGGGAGTAGACAGCTGCAACAAGATCATTGTGCCAGATTGATAAACAGCAGCTCCATCAGACACAGACCCCAAAGTAACAAGGTATTTCCATACCCTTCAGCCAAGGGAGCAAATATATGCCTGCACAGGTCTATTTCGAAAACTTGCACGTTGCGTACCTCCCTGCAGAACTGGGCTCTCAAACAGTGCTTCCCAACAGCATTTGTAGGTAGCACGAGTAGATGATCCATCCCTCTAAAAACTAGACTTTGAGCAAGTCTGTATCACACGACGCAGCATGGCACAAGGATCCCCATGACAGCCCATTTACCAGTTTGGGTCTTCTCTCGCGGCAGCACAGTATGAAGTGAGTGAACCAGCACAGACCAGTGATTCCCAAAAGGAATTGTCAGCGAATTGTGAAAAAGCACCAAAGCAGCAGCCTGCATGTTTTGTCCATCCAGCTCTGGAAACCAATTTCAAAAGTCTGGCAGAAGTGAACAATCCCAGGGAGCTGAGGAGCAGGCTGGGATATGGGTCAGGTTCAGGCGCTGAAACTGCTGCCTAGCTGCACTGCACAGGCTTGGAGTGGCTCAGAACATCTACCTTGCGCTGCCATTTTCAATCCAGAAGGTGGTGTATAAAGCATCAGAAGTTTGGGAATCACGGGCTTTGATCCGTAAGTAACGTGACTACGTATGTGCTGTCCCTGAGCTTATTCATAAACCTTGGTTCTGCACTGAATCTCATCATCTGTAGTTCCAGGATCCAGCCATGGAAGCCATGGAAACCAACAGTCTTTTGTCTTCAAGATTTCCAAATATTGATATATATTGATATAACCACTGGAAGAATGATGATGGTGGCAACTTTGAGAAGAGGAGCCCCTTTGAGAAGGGAAGCATATTTCCAGAAATTAGGGATTGCTCATAGCCCTCCTCCTCCTTCTTCATAGTTAAAGCTTACCTTGCATAAGGTTATCGGTTAAAACGTTTATAACTGCCGATATAACGCTAGTGAGTATTAGAAATATCAGGAAACTATAAGCAAAAAGTGCCCAGGATAAAAACAATACAAATTTCAAATAACAAAAGTAAGGAAAGAAAGCTTCGTTCTGGAACTACTTCCTCAAAACAGAAATTCCTTTTGTTTTTCTCCTTGTCCAAAATGCAAGGAGCCCTTTTCAGGCCACTAGTCTCACAACATCAATCTGTACCAATCTGGTATAGCACAATAGTAGAAATACTACAGCGCATCAAAGAAATCTGAAGAGAAATTTGTGAAGACCTTTGTTATAATAAAAATTATTATTGGCAACTCTTGCCTAATATTAATGAAAGGAAGAAAATACCATTTCCGTTAACTAATGTAAAACTGAGGAACTCAGTAAAACTTCAGAGAGTGAAAGTACCTGCGGGTCAACATGCAACCCTTACTTCTGAGGGTAACCCCACAAACTCGGTAACCGATCTTTAAGAACTCACTAAACAATCAATACTTGAAGTTTAAAACCCAGATCCTATACATTAGAGATGGAGACTATCCACTGCAGACCATCTACCTGTGAATGAAATAATCACCTCCGTGGCCCGTGTTCTTATCTCCTCGTCTTTCTAGTACAGTTTTTAACAACAGAAAAGAACTGCATGTTTTCTTTGTTCGCAGGAAGAAAGTTTGCGCTGGAAAGCTAAATTCTGCTTCCATCCTCCCCTTTACGTACCGAACGATCCAAACAGCAGTAATCTATTCGCTCAGCAGCAAGATCCCCGGTGTTAGCACCCACCTTGAGCACTAACAAAGCTAAAACAGTAACGCATCAGCTCGAAGAGTTACAGCGTATAATCACGTCCTTCCTTTTGTCAGCATCCCTCGAGTATTTCGGGTTACGTCTTCTTCGTTAGCTGGGCTATGCGGATTTTCCTTAGAATAAGTCAGCCCCTTCCTTCGGCGCTGCAGCGGTCATGACCAGCGCTTCTCAAGCGCCGCCGGGTTTTCAGGAGCGCAGCCCGGGCCCGAGCGCGTCCCAGCACCGGGGCCG